AAATATTCATGGCTGCTACTTCTTCTAAGCTAGACTGTGTTTACAAATCTGCCCTCCCGCTAATCACTATTACTACCCGTTTGAAAATAAACGGGCTTATTTATACCAACGTAATTTAGTATTTCTTAATAAACAAAAAAGGTCCATTACAAACTAGCGAAGTCTGCAACGAGTCAAATATTCGCAAACGTTGTTTTCGTCGCCTATACCTCGACTTAATTACGAATTTAAGCTGATCGCTATTACTACCCGTTTAAGAATAAACGGATTCATATATTCCAACTCATTTTAGTACTTCTCGGTTGACAATTGCTTATTGCGAATAGGCGTAATATTCAAAAAGTTAAAAATTTATAAACGCCTTTTTTTGTCAAGTAGACCTGGCTGGAATAGCGAACGAGCTGGATCGCCAATACAACCCGTTTGATAACAAACGGACTTATGTTTATTATTAGTTTAATTATTTACTACTCACTCAAGATAGTTAAAATTTGCAACTACAATTTTTTTTTAGCTCGACCACGCTTAAAATAATACCGACTCTCTACAAATCGCTAGTACTACCCGTTTAAAAATAAACAGGTTCATGTAATTGAACGTGATGAATTATTTTTTAATTAAAAGTGCTTAAAATAATGATCTTTCGGTTAACGCTTGTACCTGACGTTACGAAAATAAATGTGTCTCTATATTTTAATGTAATATAGTAATTTTCGGTCAACAATTGTTTATTGCCAGTCAACAAAAGTTGCAAGAAGTCGAAAATTCGCGAATGCTGATTTTATCGCGTAAATTTGTTAGATATTAAAAATTTTTCACTGATTGCAAAAGTTACCTATATTAAAATAAAGGTAATTACATATTTTTAACCTTTCTTATTATTTCTTTGTTCACAATTACTTATTACAAGTCTTTAGGGCGTTTCTCTGTAAAATCTCATTATTTACTTTCGATGCATGCTAGCTAATTCGTCTGTTCTAATACGTCTGACTCAGTGACGAGAGCTTCAGGCTGCAGCCTTTAGCTCAAGTTAAATCATAAGTTCGAGTTATTTCAAATTAGTTTTTTTTTTTTTTTTCTTTTTTTTTATTAAAAAAGGAATATAAAATACAAGGCGTTGGTTTAACCAATGTAGCCAATTCAAATATATTACAATTTAATCACTGGTCGCGCCATCTCTTAGAGTCATTTGAAACTACGTTGTCCTCCACGACGTATGGTAAAACTTCTTTCGGAATTTTTTCATTTCGTCGGTGTATTTTCATATGCCCTTCCAGGTATAGTATCATAAGAAATCTATAATATCGATTAAACTTGAATTGTTCTGCAGTCGGTAACGCGGCTAAATTTTTTTAAACGTATGACGTTAGGGAAACATCACGTTTAGAACCTTGAATGATTTACAAATGGCACACTTGTGATGCTATCGCTTTTAGAAGCTTAACATTTTTGAAGTATAGCGTTTCTTAACGTGAACATTCTTTAAACATCACATTTCCAGCATATACATTTTAGGATTAAGTAACGTTTATGAAAACTAATTTTTGGCAAGTGTCACATTTCTTAAATGTGCTTATCTCGATATCAGACGTTTGGGATATCGCACCTTACTGAAAACATAACATTTTGTATAGTCTTTGAGCGTGTTCAGCCGAACTAAGTCCTGAGTAAACTCAGTTAGCCTAAGTATAGTCAAAGCATTCCCTGCTATACATATATCTATCTACTATACTATACATATCTTACTAAGTTTACTCAGGACTTAGTTCGGCTGAACACGCTCTTTGTTAGGACTTTTTTTTTTTTTTTTTTATTAAATATATATAAAGAGATGGCGTTTGGGTAGTCCCAATGCTGTCAATTATACAGTCAGCGACATGTATTTCTCCCTTACACAGTAACAAACGTGCACAAAATATCTCTATATAAATATTAGCTCCATGTCAGATATTTCTATGCAATATATTTCTAGGGAATATCTATATATGAAAAATTTGTCTATTTAAAAATATATCCATACAAGAATAACTCTATGTGAATGAATCCTAACCGCAAATAAATCTATGAAAAAATATTTCAATGTTCAAATAAATCCATGCTTCCACATCTCTATGTAAAAATAAGTCAGAGTAAAATTAGTATAGTATCTGCAATTTGTAAAATTTCATACCGGAGGAATAGGAGGAATATTTGAGCAGGAGTGTGGCACTGGCGCTCCCGTGTTAGTAAATTTGATTTAAAAAATTTTTTTTTTTTTACTTTTTTGAATTCTTTCAATTTG